TGTGGGTGTGGGTGTGGGATAGGGATGGGGGTGTGGGTGTGGGATAGAGATGGGGATGTGGGTGTAAGTGTGGATGCCAAACCACCTTGCTGTTGCCCATTTCTCACTGGGTGTGGGATAGGGATGTGGGTACTGGATGGGCTTTAAGGTCCTTCAAACCCAAACCTTTCCCTGATGATTTCATGATGATTCAGGTCCCCTCTGGAGACCTCAGGTGAAGGCCTCCAAAGTCCCAGACACAGATAGATCAAAGAAGAAGCTTTCTATTAACAGACAAGATGTGCCACGCGCAGCTCATGGCTCACCCAAGGTGTTGCTGTGCTGGTACCTTTACCTGCCCCCTGAACAATCACCAAAGCTCCCTGAGCTCTCCAGACCTCGGTGCAGCTTTGGGGCCTGGAAGAGGGTCCTCACCGAAGCAGCTGGGTGGCAAAAAGACCCCAGATTGAGGGGTCTCACAGCATCCTCTCTCCTCTTGGGGCTGTTGAGCAGCCCAAGCACTCCCAGGGCTGTTTGTCCCTGTGATAACATGTCCTTGCAGCCTTGCCCAGGGAGGGCTGTGCTGTGTCCTTGGTCTGTGAGCTCTGGCATGTCCTCAGCCCCCACAGCACCTCCCGAGCTGCTCACTGTGCATGTCCTCAGCCCCCACAGCACCTCCCAAGCTGCTCGCTGTGCCGTGCCCTCTGTGCTGCTTTGTGCCCTGTGCTGGCTGTGGGGATGGCACTGCTGCTGGTGCTGCTGGGGCTGGTGGCTGGGGGGCCAGGGGCGCCGGGGGGAGAATCTGCATGAATGCCAAGCACCACAAAGCCCAGCCTGGCCCCGAGGGGAAGCTCTTTGACCAGGTATGAACTGCTGCGGGGACTGGGGGGAACTGGCTGGGCCCCTGTACCTCCCCAGTGGGATCCCCTGTCCCCACCTCCCCAGCCAGTGTGGACTGGTTTGGGCTTGGCTTTTGAGGGAGAAAGCCCATGCTGTGGGGAGACCTGTGTGTTTGCTGCCTCCAGGGCAACTGCAGTGCAGTGAGGGTTTCTCTCAGCTCAGTCACCCCTATTGAACCCGGAGATCTCACCTTGCCAAAGCTCAGGTGCCCCAGAGCAGAGCAAGGCAAAGGATGGTGAGGGAAGGCTCATCTGCTCCCTCTTGGTGCTGGAGATTCTTCTTGCTCTGCCCCAGGTCCTTGGTGGGGAAGGGGCTGAGAGCAGGGTGGGGTGCAGGAGAAGGAGTTTGTTTAGTTCCTCATGGCTTGCACTAATTTCTGGTGAGGATCTCACCTCCTCCTCCTCCTGCTGCTCTTTCTCCAACCTCACCTTGCTGCAGCCCTGAGCTCCTCACTCCAAAGTGCCCAAGGGTTTGTGGAGGACAGAAAATCCTCTGGCTGGGGCAGGTCCTTGCTGTGAGCTCTTCAGGGAACTGACACCTGCAGCATCCTCTGCCCCCTGGGGCTCCCCCTGCCCTCCCTGGACAGCCTGTCCCTGGCTGTCCTGCAGTGCTCTCCCTGGAGGGACAACGCCTGCTGCACAGCCAACACCAGCTCAGAAGCACACAAGGACCAGTCCAACCTGTACAACTTCAACTGGAACCACTGTGGGGTGATGGCTCCCAAGTGCAAGCGCCACTTCATCCAGGACACGTGTCTGTACGAGTGCTCTCCCAACCTAGGGCCATGGATCGACCAGGTAGAGTCAGGCCATGGAATCACAGAGTGGGTTGGGTTGAGAGGGGCATGAAAGATCATCTCATTCCCTACTCATGGGCAGGGACACCTCCCACCAGCCCAGGTTCCTCCAAGCCCCATCCAGCCTGGCCTGGAACACTCCCAGGGATGGAGCAGCCACAGCTGCTCTGGGCAACCTGTGCCAGTGCCTCAGCGCCTCACAGGGAGCAATTCCTTCCCAATATCTAGGATGCCTCAGCCTTTTCTACTGGGTAGAAAGATTCCAAGGACTTTTCTGGCCTATGACTGAGGGAAAAACTCCTCTGTCAAGGCACATCTCTTCTGGGGCTGAAATGCCTCCAAGATCAGCTCTGGAGCCCAATGGGAGGGACTGGGCAGAACTGGGATGTGGCAGATGCTGCCCCATGAGTTTCCAGGGCTCTCCCCAGCCCTTCCTGGTCCTGTCCTTGTGCAGACTGACAGCAGTTGGCGTCGAGAGAGGATCCTTCATGTGCCCCTGTGCAAGGAGGACTGCGAGGAGTGGTGGGAGGACTGCAAGGACTCTGTCACCTGCAAGGAGAACTGGCACAAGGGCTGGAACTGGGCAACAGGTCAGTGAGCCTCTCCTCACCTCCCAGGCAGGTCACTGGCACTACTGCCAGGACTTCTAATAGCTCCCCAGCTAGAAGGTGTCCAAGCCCCAGCTGAGGTGCGGGCATGGGCCCTGGGCAGGTGAGCTGCTCCTCACAGGCAGAAGGAGGTGAGGGAAGGGTTGTCCCAGGGTTGATGCTGCTGTTCTCCCCAGGAAGGAACCGCTGTCCCTGGGGCTCCCTGTGCCGACCCTTCAGCGAGGTGTTCCCCCGGCCCAAGGACCTGTGTGAGAAGATCTGGTCCCACTCGTACCGGTACACGTCGCTGCTTCGCGGCAGCGGCCGCTGCATCCAGATGTGGTTTGACCCTGCCCACGGCAACCCCAACGTGGTGGTGGCCAAATACTATGCTTGGAAAAGGAGAACCTCCCCAACCTGGAGGGAGAACGTGGCTCCTGAGGCTGACCAGGCTGTGTGTGCTCGGCCATGCTCCATCCTGATTCTGCTGCCTGTGGCCCTTGTGCTGCTCCTGGGGTAGCCACAGGCTGTGGATCCCATGAATGGTGCTCCCCATGAGCACTCCCTGCAGGGACAGGGCCTGGATCTCTCCAGCTGCTCTGCAAGAAGAGCTGCCACAGCCCTGGGTCTTTCTGTCTCAGCTGCTCACACACCTCACTGAGTGCTCAGCACAAGTTGTGCTGTTGAACCTTCATACACAACCCTGCTCCAACTGCTGCCCGGGGCAGGGACGTCCCTGCCAGCCTGGGAAGGGCAATGCAGTCTCTGCTCTGATGTGGGAGCTCCTGCACATCTGTTCTCTATGCTGGGTTGACAGAGCCTGCCCAAGGTCCTTGGCTGAGCTGTGGTGTCTGGGCCCTGGGGCTGTGGTGACACCCTGGGGGATGGGGGTGATAATAAAGTTGTGCTCTGGATCGGCTTCGCTGTGTGAAATACATTGAGGGGGGAGAAGTGCCCTAGGGTGAAGGAAGGCATGGGTGGTATTGGGTGTAGGATCTGTGAGGGGAGAAGTGTGGGAGGTAGGAAAGGTCATGGAATGATCAATGGGCTGGGTCAGAAGAGAGGTCAAACCTCATTCAGTGCCACCCCTGCCACCCCAAGGCAGAAGGGCTCCAAAATCATGGAATGGTTTGGCCCTGGAGCCAAGCTGGGAGAGCTGGGAATGTCCAGCCTGGAGAAGAGAAGCTCCAGGGAGACCTCAGAGTCCCTTCCAGTGCCTCAAGGGGCTCCAAGGGAGCTGCAGAGGGACTTAGGACACTGGAGTGATGGGACAAAGGGGAATGGCTTTAAACTGTCAGAGAGCAGGGATAGGTGGGATATTGGGAAGGAATTCATCCCTGTGAGGGTGCTGAGGCACTGGCACAGGTTGCCCAGAGTAGCTGTGGCTGCTCCATCCCTGGGAGTGTTCCAGGCCAGGCTGGATGGGGCTCAGAGCAGCCTGGGCTGGTGGGAGGTGTTCCTGCCCAGGGCAGGGAAATGAGATGATCCTTAAGGTCCTTCCAGCCCAAACCATTGCCTGGTTCTCTGCTCCCACAAGGCCAATGCCCAGGACATGTGTGAGGAAGCTGTGCAGTTCTCTACAGATAGAATCAGAGCAGCCATTCTTTCCAGCCCTCCCCAAAGGAATGACGAAGGCAGAAGGACACTCATAGGCAGGAGGCATCAATCCCAGCTCATGCTGCTCCCTGACATGGGAGGGAGGCAGCAGGGATGATTCACAGCAGAAGTGGCAGAGCTGGAAAGCAGAAGGGAAAGGGGGAGAAGGCAGGGAGTGATTTGCATTCAGCAGGCACAGAGTGATGCAGGAGCTGCACTGCTGTTCAGCTGCTGATGCATGCTGTGACCAGCCATGGCACTTGGTTATTTTGTGCTTATAAATCCTTTTCCTCAAGCAGTTTAACGTCAGCAGCAAAGCCAGGAATCAGGAACAGGGGACAATCAGGTTAGTGTGATGGGTGGATTTAATGAGCAGGACCAGGGGCAGGGACACAGGCAGGGCAGGGGCAGCATCCTCTGGGAGCACCTGGGGAGCAGCAGGAGCATCTGAGAGGGTGAACAGGAAACAAATGTAACTGGAAAGCAGCGTGGAGAGAGGGAACCCCCAGGGCCTACATGGGAGAGGTGGAAAAGGGCAAAAGACCATCACTTTAACACTCATTTGCCGAGAAATGGTGAAGCAGAGGAGCTAATGTTTATGGGGCTGCAGCAGCCACGAGTTCCTGAGCACCAAGTGTGGTGTAGTTCCTCCTGCACCCAAGGCAGCACAGCCAGATCTATGGCAGGGGCAGGAGTTAAATGGACCCTGACTAGGATTCCCCTGGGACACATCCCACACAGGGACAGGGAACTAAACCATCCCTGGGACACATCTCACACAGCATCTTCAGCTATGAGACCCCCAGAACAACCTTAATAAGACACCCAAAAGAGAAGACAAAGCTCATTGCAAAGAGGCTTTTTCAGAGCCAAGTTGTCAATTATTGATTGCTGGAGATGAAGGAATTGGCTGATCTCTGAGTCAGTCACTCTTTGTCTTGATGAGCTGCTCAGTCCATGGGGTGTGAGTGATGCTGCTCTCAGGTCACACTGGGGACACAGATCTGATCCTCCCTGAAAGATCTGCCCTTAATCCCTGAATTCCATGGGAATGCACCAGAGTGACTTGGTCTTTCTTGTCCTGCCTGACCAGGGACAATCTCGGTTTAACACCAGCCTCCTCCTGGGCTTGGATAGCTCCGAGCCCAGGGCAGGGCACTTCCTGGAGGGGGTTCCAAACACCCCAGAGCAAAAGGACAGCAACAAACCAGTTCAGACTCCACATGATCTGAGGCATAAGGTGTTTTCTGGAGAGGTGTGGAGGTACCAGCCAGGAATGCTTGACCAGATTTTCTGAACAGCCTTCTGGGCTGGTTTGGGTGAGCTGTTTGTTGTCCTTCAACAAGAGGGAACACAGGATCTCTCAAGATTCCTCCTATTCCTGCTCTTCATGTCTCCCCTGATAATTTCACACGAGATGTCTGTTTTCCACCCCATCTCTGCACATCTCCTTTGCTGTGTGTGTGTTATCTACATCTAGGACAGCTTCTCCCCCTGGGGATAGGTTGATCTTGACTGACAGTGATTGAGGGAGGTTTGGATCAGAGAATCCCTGGATGGGTTGGGTTCAAGCTCATCTTGGGCAGGGACACCTCCCACTAGAAGGTTCCACCACCTCCTTGGTGCTATTTCAGTGATGATAAGTACTTGGGTCTTGGTGCAGATCCACCAACCCTCTGGGCCTGCCTGTGTGACCTCAGCAAACTGCAAGCGCAGGTTGAGTTTCTCAGCTCTTAAACATGAAGAGCTATTTTTTGTTGTTGTTTTCCATGAATATCCTGGGTTTGAGCCAAATTTTGTACCCTGTGAGCTCTCCCAGGCTCCTGACTGCAAGCAGAGATGTCATTTCAGTAACACTGTGTGTTATTAGAGACTGAGTCCTATGAGGAGAGGCTGAGGGAGCTGTGGGGGCTCAGCCTAAAAACAGCAGGCTCAGGGGGAACTCATTGCTCTCTTCAGCTCCTGCCAGGAGGTGCAGCCAGGTGGGCTCAGGCTCTGCTCCCAGGGAACAGGGACAGGACAAGGGAAACACCTCAAGCTGTGCCAGGGGAAGGTCAGGTTGGCCATCAGGAGGAATTTCCCTATGGAAAGGGCTGTCAGGCACCGGGATGTGCCGCCCAGGGAGGTGGTGGAGTCACCACCCCTGGAGGTGTCCAAGGAGCTCAGAACATGGCACTCAGAGCTCTGAGCTGGCTGAGAAGTGCTGATGGGTCACAGGTTGGACTTGGTGGTCTCAGAGGGCTTTTCCCACCTCAGTGACTCTGGGATTAGTGACTGCACACAGGTTTTCCCCTCAAACCCACACCAGCACTGGGGCACTGACCTGGCCCAGGACAACTAGCACTCATCATTCCAGGAGGAGAGACAGCCCAGGAGTGCCCAGCACAGCCTGGGGGACACAGCAGGTTCGAAGGGATGAACTCCTGCCCAGGGAAAGTGAAGGGCTTGACTTCCAAAACAGGAATTTGGTTAAAAAACCCAACTGGAAACAATGCGAATGTCTTGGTTTGGGATATTTTGTCCTTGTGCCATTGCCATCTGGGATTTCCCTGGAGGAAGCCAGAGGGGAGGGAAAGGTGTCCCTGCCCAGGGAACTGGGTCATAGAATCATGGAATACCCTGAGCTGGAAGGACCCACAATGACCATCAGTCCAACTCCTGCACAGGACACCCCAACAATCCATGGTCATCCAATGTCCCCAAGTGTCACATCCACAGGTTCTTGAGCACTTTCAGGGCCATGACTCCAGCCCTGCCCTGGGCAGTTGTGCCAGGGGTGGACAGCCCTTCCCATGAAGGAATCCAAGACTAACTCCAGCTCTGCAGCTGCTCAGAGCAGTGAAATGTAGCAGCCTCAGCTGGTGATTGCACAGGAATGAGCCCAGGAGGGAGCAGTGACAGCTCTGCCCACCTCACGTTCAGCACCGAGGGCATCACCCAACTGCAGCCACAGTTCCACCCACACACAGCCACAGCTCAGGACACCTACAGAACACTGAGCTCAGTGGCTGCTTGAGGCCTCACTGAGTCTGGCTGGGCTCCCTCACCACAGCCCAAACAGCCATGGAGACTTGGGGATGGTTCCAAAGCACCAGGACACGGATGTCACTACAAGATTTCATCCCTCAGCAGGCACTTGCAGAGCTCAATGTCTCTGCTGAGAGGTTTCGCAGATGGGACTCAAGGGCAAACATGGAAAGGGAGTTTAATCCCTTCTCTGTGCCCTCTCTTCTGCCCAGTGTCTCTGCTGAGAGGTTTCACTGATGGGACCCAAGGGCAAAGCATAGAAAGTTGAATCTCTTCTCTGTGTCCCTGATCCTGCCCAATGTCTGCTGAGAGGTTTCACTGATGGTACTCTAGGGCAAACATGGAAAGAAAGTTTACTCCCTTCTCTCTGCACTAATTAGTGTGTTAACTCCTGTGGGGTTTGCTCCTAGTTAAGGAGAGTAAGAAAACATGAGGTGTGACGGGGCCACAGTGAAGATCTGTCTGACACCCTGAGAGCACTTCCAGGAGAATTCCATGCCCAGTTCCCACCAAGCCCATCCCAGGGCTCCAGGCAGGGCTTGCCCTGCAGAGTTCCTGTCCCCAGAGCCGCAGAATTTGGCATCTGTTTATTTCCCATTCTGCAGAGCAGCAAAGTCTCCTCTCACCTCTTCTGTGTCACTGTGTGCGCTCAGGGTCACTTGGGCCTGGGGGTGCTGAGGTGCATCACAGCCACCAGGCACAGCTGGGGATGAATTGGGATCATTTCAGCTCTTCTTTTGCCTCTCACTCATCTGATCTCAGCAAGTCAAGTCCCTCCCTGAACTCTCTTTCTCTCTGCTGATGCCTCAGGTCAAATTCCCATTCATTTTCCCTTTATTTTTTATTTTAATGGAATGTTCTGTATTTCACATGTGATTTTTCCAGGCCTTTATTCAG